GCCATTTGGCTGAACAGCATCCAGACCCGTTAGAATCTTATAGACCTGGATCATGTCCCCCCTTAGTCTCCTTTGCTCAAGGCTAAACAGATTCAGTTCAGCTAACCTCTCCTCATAAGACATTCCTCTAAGACCAGGAATCATTCTCGTAGCCCTCCGTTGCACCTTTTCAAAGACAGAAGAATCACCTATGTCACGATTTCTCAAAATACGAACAAGGATATCCTTCCCAGAATGGTGCCAGGAATGAGAGCCTGATGGCAGCCTGTCCACGTAACAGGCACAGACTTTCTGTGCTCAACTGGGCAGGCAAAAACAATTGCCAGTAAGGGTGGGTTTCCTTTTGGGGTTGCTCAGTAAATTTTGCGTGACCATCGGAAGTTGAAGTGGGGCACTCAGGACTTACAAGGGAGGCACTTTCGATTGTTTGGGCAGAAGGAGCAGGTGCTCAGGAAAGTGCAGGAAAGACCCACATAGATCAAGCCATGGCAATAGAGACTAGAATGTGGAGTGTTTCCTCTCTGTGGAAGATAAAAAGGTACTGGCTAGATATAGTCGGCCTTACACTGGAGGCAGACCTCTTAATTTGGTGTGGAGTTTCTGCTACTCTGGAGCTCCCCATGGTGAACGGCAGGAGTGGGGATACTTACAAGTTCCGGGCTGAGGGCTGTGCTGCTGGAGAGTTTTGAAGGAGTACTGCCTACTGACTCTGCAGTCCCACTGGTGGACTTCAGTGTTTATGTGAAGAATGCTGGAGATAGCTAGAGGGACGAGACTGGGAAGAAGGGTCTCCTGGATCTGAACCCAAATGGTAAAATGTTAATGAACTTTGGCGCTATAGATGATAAACTGCATACTCATGTTATCTGGCTTGAGTTAGACAACAGATGACCACATGGATTTGATGCATGAAGAGGAGGCCAGATGGACCAGGACAATCCAGACAAGCACTCAGGGTTTGCTGGGAATATCTGGCTGAAAGTTTGATGCAAAATAAATTTTAATGCACCTGTAGCATGCTGAATGACGTTAGGGTCATCATGCCTGAAAGTATCACCTTCAAGTCTCTAATTGTTCCAGCGGCTGAAGACAGTTGATACTTCCTATAGCAGTAACCCACTAGGAGCCACTGGTGGACACCTGTGCTGAAGGAAGCTGTTAGGCTGAACAAGGTGGACTCCAGGGCAATGTTTGCATGAGGGTCTCCTGAGACAGCTGAAAGATACCAGCAGGCCAGAAAGGTTGCAGGAAACTCAATCACTGGGGGACAACTCTTGCATGGGAGGAGTTTGGAGAGACCATGGAACATTAAAGATGTTTGGGCAAACTGTTTTACACCTCAGGAGCAGGTTCAAAGTCTATTCAATTCAGTCTGTTCAGGGGTAGGGAAGAGCTGACTAACACTGGGGTTGCAGAGTGGTGGAAGGAACACTTTGAGGAAGTCCTCGAGCCAGTGGATGTACCCTCTCACCAGGAAGCAATATTGTAAATTCTGAATTTACTGAAACTCAATACAGTGGTTATAGGCCTAAATAGTAGAACAGTTGTGGGGGCAGAGTTCTGTCCAAAGAAAGCACAGTATGTTGTTGGGGTAACATGAATGACTAGCCTCAGTGTTGCATGGAAAGCAGGCATAGTATCTCTGAACTGACAGTGTCCCCATATATATATATATATATATATATATATATATATGTATATATATATACACAGTGGTACCTCGGTTCTCGAACTCACTAGAACTCGAATTTCTTGAAAGTCGAACAAACCAGTTTGACCTAGAACTCGATCTGAATATCAGAATTCGAACCATGAACGCTGACCTAATATAAAATAAATTGCACGCGCCAGGAAATGAGTCATACTACAATGCAATTCTTACTTGAATGCCTTCTTCACAGACTGGACTATTAACCAAATAAAGCATCGCAACATTACAGTAACTAACAATAAATAAACCACTAACTTACGTGTACTATTAGAGCATTTATGTCATTTATTTAAACTTTATTTTACCAGGTAAATTAACTGAAAACCAGTTCTCACTGCTTTACGTGATATTCGGGAGAAATAGCAGATTACACATTGGAACTGCCTGGGATACAAACGTCATGCGTGTAACTAAACTCTTCAGCCAATAAGGGCAAAGGTGTGTCCTCACGGAGGCGGTTCCAGTTTGTGCAGCCGGGTGAGAGGTCGCAATGCATCTAACCATAATGCATTGCGTCAGGATCAGAATGCGTTGCTTTAAGCCAGCGCTGTAAGCAAGCCGAACGCACCCAATGACCAGACTGGGGAAACAAACTGAAACGTGGACTTAATACAGAGGACTAATGACAACAACCAGAAACAGCTGATCACTTGGGGATCCCACACAAGGTTAACGAGGGGGCGTGGCACACGGAAGGAGCGGACAATTATTTTTCCATTATTACGTATGGGAACTCGAACTTTTTAGCATTCGATCCGAAGTCCGGAACGGATTAAGTTCGAGAACCGAGGTACCACTGTGTGTGTGTGTGTGTGTGTATGTATATATATATATATATATATATATATAATAAGTACAATAAAATAAATATGGACCAGAGTGTAGGTTTCAACTATACAGGGATCATCAGAGGGTTTTTGGGAATATGGTAACAAAGTCTACATATGCGTTTTACATTTGGAGAAGGTAAAGCACCATACTGTGGGAGGTACTACAGGAATATCGGACTCCAAGGCGGCTACTTAGTGCTGTTTGGTCCCTATTTGAATGCAGTTGTTTGCATCCTTGACAAAATCAAAATTTTGGCCTCCATCAAGAGTCCATTTATCCTCTATTTCTTTTCATAAATTTCATGAGGCATAACTGCAGCTAGAATGGTGTGTGGGGTCTTGAAGTGACATATGTGCTATTTGCAGATGATGTCGTGCCTTTTGCTTCACCTGAACAGGACCTCCAACAGGCACCTGAGCAACTTAAAGCCAAGGATGAACTGGAGGGGATGAAAATTCTGAAACCTCCAAGCTCAAGGTCATGGTGTCTGCTCAGAAAAGAGTTCTGGTGAAGGTAGCGAGTGCTCATTTTCATGAATAATGGAAGGAGAATACATGAGATTGATTATTGATGTTGTCGTCCATACCTACAGTCAAAGCTAGGGATAATGACTTAAAGAACAAGGTCGCTAGTAGAAGTGGGCACTACAAGTCACCCCACAAACTTTGCACAGGATTAAGATCTGGAGTTCTGACTTAGCCATGCCATAAACCCTCTGTTTGTTGTGAGACATTAATTTGTGGATTTGCTCGTGTGTTTAAGGTTACTGTCAAAAGCCATTAACAGTTGAGCTTCACATTCTTCTCAAGTAGTCCTGGAACAATTCATGGATGAATATGACTAAGGCAGCAAAACCAAATCATAAAACTATCACCACCACTTTTTACAGCTGCCGTAAGGTTCTTTTGTTCAAAGGAAGGTTTTCACCCAAAATTGTCGCCTGGCATCATAGCCAAACTCTGATTTGGACTCATCTACCCAGAGCATATTCTTATTGTCGTCCTAGCCTTCACATAGGTCTGCCAGAAAACTTGTCATTCATTTAATAAATCTCACGGGCATTTTCTAAGGAACTTAGCGAGCTATTTACCATGACATGGCTTTACTAAATACTTCAGTGTCTATGACCAAACCAGACCTGACAACTTCAAGTATTTCATTTGATGATTAATGTATGGGTGAACAAACTTTTACAGGTAAGGAAATTACATTCTCAAGGGATGAATAAATGTTTGTAGAGTGTACCGTTCTTTATAAATTGTTAAATATCTCCTTTATTTACCAATATAGTTGAAATGAAAACGAATAAATGCACAAATGTGTCAACAAAACATTTTACGGGGTGTAATTTTCACTTTCTGATTTTGTAAGGAAATGAGTAAATGGGCCAGTTAAACGGGACACCCTTCGCTGCCTGATGAGTGTAGACTCTCTGGAGTTGATGGGGCTTCTCTGTTGCAGACTCCAGTTTGTAAGTAAGTCAGCAAGAACCCCACAGCAGCTCTGGCGTGACGGGAGGTCGTTACATCTTCAGTTTCAGCACTAAAACTAATACTTTTTGATGGTTTGCTGGTCCTTGCAGGGTCCAGGTCTTCAGAAAGGGTGTTAGAGCATATGTCCTTACAAAAAAATCTAAATATCTACAGGGACTCCCTGTCTGGACCTCAGTGTTACATGCCAACATGAAAAGGGCATGACCCCAGGCAGGTAAAGGTGTAGATTTACAGCAGTATAAGATGCTACACCAAGGCGATTGGCTTCCACGTGACCTCAACTGAGTTAAAAGCAAAAGAAAAACAAGAGAATAACAGGACAGCTTCCGGTTAGGAATTTTTTATTGACAAATACACAAATGATCCAGCATTATAAAATGTTGCGTGCTCTAGTACATTCTTACAGCACTTAATATTGCCTTGCATGTATTTAACATAGTGCTGATATATCCATTAGAAGATGAAGACAGGCATACAAAAACACCAAAACACATTTAAAATGCCCTAACTCCATATATGGAGTTTGAAGTTTTGGTATTTAGTCTATGCTGTGGGCTGCACATCACACTGAGAAGCCCTTTTTGTTTTGGCTGATAGTGGAAGCAGTGTGCGTAGGATTACCAAAGGGTTTATCCTGTCAAAACACCTCATCAAATATGCTGATCAAGGACGACATGTATCAAGGCCACAAAACAGTTAAATACAGTAAGATTTCTAATTATTTTTAACTTTATTCTATTCTATGAACAGAACTATACCTGATCTTCAGGGGCACCATGAAGGGGGGGGGGGGTTAATTAGGATGATTCCAAGGGTGAATGGGAGCCCTAAAAAGCTTGAAACATGATTCGATTGGTCTGGTTTGGGAGCTCAGTATGATATGCTTTCACAGGGCCCAAAATCCAGAGGCGCCCCCCTTGATCTTCCTAGAGATTCTGATTTAACACCCGGTTTTAGATATATATGTATATTATCTATGTATATCTATATATATATGTATAATATTGGACCTATTGCGAAATACCAGATCACAACGATACATAGGTTTTACAGGTACATCAGCATCTAACCACATCCAACAACTTCACTTCTCCATCAGGAAACTAAACAGACAGACCCCGAGGAAGCAAAGAGCAACCGTGTGAAGCAGAAACATAATGCAAACATCGAGTTTTAAAATGACAATTACGCCTTGTCACTAATAGACAAACCACTGCCCTCACCTCATCTCATACAAGATGCTGGGCACTGTAGGCCCTACTGGAGGAATAAAATTAAAGTCATCAGGCTCAACGGCTGTGAAAACACAAAGAACAAGCTGCGAATGGTGGAGACAGAGTTGTTTCGTGGCTGAGAATGGGGTTCAAGAGGGGATCGGATCTCTGACTTTCCCATAAGAAATGCTGCTATCGTTATACGGGGAAACTAGCTGGATGAACCGAAGGTAAGGGCTGATGGTCAAGACACTGCTTCCAAGTGGAATGACTTTAATGTTACAAAAAACAAAACAACAGAATAGGATTTTAATGCCAATGTTATTTAAGGCCAAAATTGCATTGAAAACAGCAAAATGAGTGTCAGTGATACATCCACTTCCATAAAAATACCTGATTGTAATGATAGGTGATGTCACAAAATAATCATTAAAATTATATCGTAGAACATTGTATGCACCATGTATATATTGGTATAAACTGTAAGCACTTTTCATAATGGTTCCCTTTAAAATAATTTATAGGTTACAGAAAACAAACACACATTCATTTGCAGGAGAAAGTTAGCTCCCTTTACCTCATTTCCAAGAATGTTGTGATTTAAACTTAAAAAGTAATTTTGAGAGAAAAGACAATGAGGAGGAAGTAACACGATTAGGAATTATTAAGCATCAGCTTCCCGTCACAAGGTCAATTACCCAGAGCAGAGAAGTCTCCCCAAATGGGATGGATATGAGGGTACAGCACCCTCTTCCACGCTCTACCGTCACCGACCACAGCAGCGGCAGAGTACAGAACCACCTGCGCTCCCAGCAGGAGCGTGTGAACTGCTGTGATTTAATTAAGCCTGATAAATGAACACTCCGACTCGCTAAATAATTTTTCTGAATTATAATTCCAATTTTAAATAGCGTTTAACATTAAGACATCCAAACACAAAAAAAGCCAAGGCTTGGGCAAGGGCCAATGACAACATGTGGCCAGATATACGAGATTCCAGTTCTGAAAGCTAGAGGCACATTCGGGTGTCTGTTAGCAACCCGTTTGCTCCATGAGATCCTACATCTCTATAGGTCGATTCCTTTGGAGATTTATGCGCTAAAGGATGTTCGTTTGCAGATCTGCTAATTTCGGACCTGACACTAGCAACATGGCTAAATCCACAGCAACAGCGATGCATTAAAGCAGAAATGTCAAGACCGCTGAATTCTAAATGTGGCTACAACAATTTATGGGTCGGAACATTGTCTGATCTTCCTTCCTCTTTGCTCAAGGTATGGAAATTATGGGACCAGTGCTGTTTAATGGGATGGCACAATTCTCCGGTCTGGACAGTAAGTCTGGTAATGAACAGGAAGCATCAGTTTGTTTGGGAGCAGAATATCTTTTTGTACACACCTGCATCTAAGATGCTGAAACTACTGAAGGTGAGAGGATGTTAAATGAAGATGATTGAAGCACTGAGGTCTGGGTGAGGAAGAACTGGATTGGCAAAATGGGAACGAGCACAGTACCAGAACACGCTGCCTTACTGGCGTTTTCATCCAATTGTATGAAAATGGTGAACTGAAGTACTGCATCATCTCACATTTTTACCCCAGTTTTGCTTGGTATACAGCCATGCCTGCCCAGACATCACAGAGGGGGGGCAGGCACACCTCGAGCACGGCGGCTGCCAGGCCAAAGGCTGCCTCTTCACACTACAGGTCACACGGAGCCACGGGAAGAAGCTTCTGCCAACTGGAGAAGAGAGACACACGTCTCACTGTAGGAGGCCGGCACCCTGTGAGGGGAAGTCAGGTCTGCGGATACAGCGGACAGACAGCGCAGCCAGCTCACACCCCCCCCGCCCCCCTTCTGTTGCAGAACAACGCCAATTATTTTTTTTACCTCTGTGCAGCTCTGCCTTAAGCCTGGCAGGTGACACAGCTCAGACTCAGACTCAGACTCTGCATTGAGTCATACAGCAGCCAGTGGTACCTGGGAAGAGTGACTTTGCTGATGATATTCAAATTCATTGCCAGAGTAACAAAGTCAAATGCATTTTTTGGTGATTTCATTGAATAGGCTTCACCTGCCCCCCCTCCCTAGGGGTCCCAGCACCTAAACTTCATGTTTTGCTGATGTTTAAGGACCATCCACAAACTCTCTTTGTAATTTAATTGTAGCTAATTGGAAAGGCATGTTATGTCATATGTACACATGTAGACCTCCTGCATACCCAGACAGAGGTGTTTTTATCAGCTACTCCATGAAATTAAAATTAATTTGCAATTACAAAACCCCAACGCAATGATGTTGTCAGAAAATATCACGGATTTCTTTGAGTTTGGCACTCGCTCCCTCTCCTGGAATTGCTCTAACTAGGCCAGACACCCTGGGAGTTCCCTTTTAAAACTCCCCACATCCCTTTCAGTCAAACAGAGTCAACATTTTGCACAGAGACTTGTTGAAGCGCAGAGGAAAGGAGGGGGGCACAATGATCAGAAACATGTGGATCACAAGCATGCTCACAAATAATGGAATAAGCTCAAATAAACACCTTTGATTTTCACTTCAGTACCCTACTCTGAAAGACTACACTGAATGAGGACTGAAAGCACGAATGGTGGTAATGTAATGTCATTTTGACATCATCATGGTTATAGATTGACTTATGCTGGATCTCCCTTGATAATTGAAAAGTATGTCTTTTTCATAAACTGAATTACCTGTGTAACTACAGTCTGAAGGATGTTTAACTCTGAATCTGAACAGCCAGTCCAATGCAACAGAATACAAGAAAATTTATATACCATGCCAACTACATCATAAAGAGTGTTGCTGAAGAGGAAACAGCTTTGTGTTTAATTAATGTCATTTGAATTGGGAGACTCCAAAACCTTGACCAACGAGAGTAAGACTGCATGATGGGAAAGTCCTGTCATTCATATAATATAAATACATCTTTATATATAACTACAGAGAGAGAGCTGTGAAAATATTAATCCACCAAGGCATTGATTTGGTTAGACTATTCCAGAGCAGGACTCAAACAGCTAATTAACTCAGGCTAGAGACAAACTAGATGGTAACGTTAAGTGATACCACCATTGTGACAGTTCACAAATTAAACGGCCCTTTATACCCCCTTAAGACCTTTTTACCCTTGATCTTAAGGAAACTATAGCAGGGGCACAATCCATCAGAGAGCAGTTTCAGCTAAGACATTGTAAAACTACATATTGGGATGACCTGTAGATTTGTTGACTTGTATGTTAAATACAACATCATTAGCATTATAGTCTGTAATCTGCAACACAATGCACACAGCGATATTGGAGTGATAATAATTAGCTGTGTTTGATCTCACTTGTTTTGGAGCTGATCAAGAGACATTTGGGATTCAAGGATATTAGGACCTGCAAGCCCATGTGTAACCTATAGCAGGTTTAAGGAAATAAAACATACTGACTAAAGTAAAAATCTGAGAGACAACATACTGCACAATTGCCTAGTGATAGCCCATCATTTCACAAAGAAAACATGAACGGATGACACGAACAGTCATTGGCCATCTCTGTATGTCTCCCTGAGATCCGGATACTAAGGCATGCACGGCATTGTGGGAGTGCTGCAGCCATCGACTGGGTTATAATCAGAGTCAGCGAGACACTATGCAAGGACACACACTAATGCTTCCTGTCTGCTGTCATCATTAGCATTTAGTGGGTGTGTGAATATAACACACACACACACACACACACACACACACGGGAATGCCTATCATTCATACACACGCACACACTGAGTGTAGGTAAATTTATATAAACAACATATATAAACAAAAGGATAAGAAAAGGTGCAAAAATGCATATAAATTAAGATATTTCGCTGCTTCTTTAAAAGCAGTTTTTGGTTATCAGGATATGCTCAGCACACCCAGCTCATCAAGCCAAGCTAACAGATATTAGAATGCTGCTTAAAACGAGTACTACAGGCACTGTTCCTTGAATATCTGAAGCCAGCCTGTAGGACACGTGCTACGTGCAGAGCCACACGCACATGCTTCTGCTTAGGGTGGCATATACCTGCTTCTTTGCTCCCTCCTTGGCAGTCAGCATGTGCACAGAAAGGTGTGCCACCAGTGACCGGCACACAAAGGCTACACGTGTGATTGGGCAGGCCATTGTCACATGGTCTTTGAAAGAGGGGTGTGGCTATTACAACAAAATATATAATGACTCTTGAGTTACGCCAGATATCTTGAACAAAATGCCTCTTTTCACATAAAAAAAATATAGAAAAAAAAAGGAAACAGTATTATTAGTTTCTAAACTGACATTAATGAGTTATGTACAGGTGTGTGTGTGTTTCATACACGATTAAAAATCACATCTTAAATGCTGTTCGGGTGGCAAGGAGGAAGCATATCTAAGATTTTTCCACAATTCGCCTTTTGTTCTCTTCTTCTTTGGTATGGCATCACTGTGTATATCTTAACAATTTTTCATCTATTTTTCCCCAATTAAAAATGACTCCCTTAATAAGGATACCAACAGGAAAACGTGTCCTCAAAGGCGGCTCTGAAGAGAACCCCCCATTCCGGCCCTTCTTAGCTCCCCGGCACAGCCAGGATGTACCCAGAGCGGCTCTTGATGAAGTCCGGCTGAGATTGGTTGATCTTGGTTTCCACGACGACGGTGCACTTCCTGCCATTCATGCTGCATTGGATGGGACTGACCACGCTCACCTGCAGCTTCCGCTTCTCACTGCACAAAGAGAGGGAGAGAGAGAGACAACATGGCCACTGTCATTGCAGGATGCTTTCAACACCGCCCACAGTCTGAAGAGATACCAGATCTTCAGAAATCCAATATTCGGAAGATCTTTTTGTTTCTTTGTCCAGTGACGATCTGTCTACATTGAGCTAAAAAATTGGAGAGATAGTGACACACACAGGATCTGAGGGACACAAACGGGGGGGCGTGGCCGCTGACCAGGGATGGGGGGGGGGGTTCCCCTCTGTAAATTTTAACGATCAGGGTGGGCTCAGGAGATTTGTCATGATCGTCGATTATCAAAAAAGGGCTCTTTGAGCATAAAAGGAGGGGACTTTTATTTGTTCAGGCGAAAGCGGCAGGTGTTTGGGAACCCCCCCCTCCCACGTGCTGGGTGATACGACGCTGAGAACATTAGGGATATTCACAATTTCCCAGAGCCGGGTATTCCATTTCTGTTCTTTCATAGACAGGGCAAATTGTAGGCAGTGCGACTCAAATAACTCTGCCTAACAGTGTCTTTGGGAGATGCTAAATGAAGAAATAATAATAATAATAATTGTAATAATACTGTAATTGCACTGTGTGTGAGATGCTGAGCGCAGAAGTGGGACACAAAGACAGGAGCGCTGAGCAGATGCTGCCTGCTGTGCCCAATGCAGCCTGACCCATTTGCAGCCGGGGGGCACCCCGCCACACCCCCAGCCCCTCCGCCACTTTTCACCGGCAATTTAATAATTAATAATGACTAATTACGGAAGCCAAAAAGCAACATCTGCTCCACTTTCCTACTTGGCTGTTACTATACGAAAGGCCAGACAAGAAGCACAATCTTCTTAAAGATCCACCCGTCACCGATGACCTGGTTCCTGCTCAGGTTTACGGGGACCCGGAGACCCAGGGCATCAAAGGGCACTGGCACACACACACACACACACAGACACACACAGACACACACACACACACACACAGAGACACAAACACACACAAACACACACACAAGCTCAGCTAAATTCTTAGCATAGCAGGATACTAATAATATAGTGTATTACATTTATTTGTGTGTATGTGCCTGTCAATGGAGCGGCTTCCAGTCCAGAATGAGGCCCCAGCCTGTGCTGCCTGAGAGAGACTTGACACCCCCCCCCCATGACCCCGATCAGGATAAGAAGTTAAAAGATGGATGGATGAGTTGATGGATAATTATTAAATACCATCATAAGGCATCTTGCTTTAAAAAGCTAGGAACAGGCGATAGTGATGTATGCCAAACGGCTACAGTGGCCACGACACTAACAAATTCGGAAAAGATTTCCAGTGTCATTTTTAATGCCTGGAACATTCCAGGCATGGAGGCTGCTGGTGCTGACCTGCTGTGGGTGAGCTCTTAGCCCAGGGAGCTTTGGGATGTCAGCCGTGAGCCTGTCACGTCTGCTTAGAATGTCAGGCTGAGCAAAGATCTTTCTCGCCAGTCGTCATTCTTCAACGATCAGTGATGTGTGAGAAATGCATGACTGCTGTCTAAATGACTGAACTAAATGGTAAAGCAAGGTGTCACTTACACTCCATTACAAATCTGACACACAAAGAAAAAAGTAAGTCCATCCATTCCTATAGATTATACTCAAAATGCTGGGCTCAGAGATGACTGGGCAAGTAATTCTTAACGTTTGTAGGAGAATACATGCAATATCTACCTGCCATATTCATAAATCGCTACAAGTGATCACAAAATTTACAACTGATTATTCCAGCTTCACGTTTAAGGGAAGTTCCAAAAGTAGTATCTTCTTTTTGGAAGGCATCTGGCTCTCTTGTGCTCCTCAAAATATAAATCAGACACTAACTCAAGTAAGATTTATCAGTCAATTGGTTACTTAATTGTTCAGGGATACTGAGCAATTAATCAAAAATATGGCTAATGAAGCGAAAAACCATTCACAGCATCTATATATCTATTATCGTCATTGTTAGACTGTCAAGTGTGAATATACAATAAGAAGCATGTGAAATGAGGGCTGGATGCACAACAACAAGCTCAGTAAGAGGGAAAAGGACGGAGACGAGATCATCACAGCATGAAAAAGCAGCAGCGAGGGAGACACCACTGCTTGACAGAAGTGAGGGAAAAATAATGAAAGCTGGGTGTGTGAAGAGACATGCTGGCACTCTGCTGTGCTGGTTTCTGGGGCTGAACTGTCATGGCAGCGCAAACACTGCAGGTAATTTAGAAATGCCGATTCTCCTAACTGCCTGCCCCTGCACTACAGGAGGAATAATATATAATAAAAAATAAAAATGAACAAAAATGTTAAAATTTTTAACATTAAAAAAACAGAATGACTACCACAAAAATGCTAGTTTGCCACATCCATGCCCCTGTTGTCAAGGCAATACTGGCATCTTTGCGTAGTCAGACATTGTGGCCTTCAGTTCATCTTTAACATCTGTTGTCCTTTAAAGGAAAAGCTCACTGATCTGGGATCAGAAGTCCCTGCACTCCCTCTCTGGGTTGGGGGTAGGTACCAAGGCTGCAGGCCACTGAGGCTCCGCTGCTCTCACACAGGAGCAGGAGCAGGAGCAGGAGCAGCCAGGAGCTGCTGAGCAGGAACCCGGCGTTATGTGCAAGGAGGCAATAAGTAAATGCATTTAGCTAAAAGGAGCGTCACTGGTGGCTGGCTGTGACGGCCGTTCACTCTCTCAGCTTCACTGCAGCAGTGTGCATCTCCTCCATAGCTGCTCGGTGCTAATCGGCGGCCTCGGTCCCAGGCCAACTGGCAGAAAGGACACCTCTCTTGGCTAAGGTCACCGCAGGGGCTCTCGCTGACAATGACAGGGCAGCCACAACCACCATCCAAACTGCCCACCCGGCTAATCTGTCCTTGTACGTTACGTGAGGTCAGTCTGCAGTTCCTTTCTTCATTTACATATTACGATTTCAGCTATGAGATTCAGGTACTACAAATTCCAGCCCCACGGCTTTTGCTGTGTCTGCTCCTTTATTGCAGTCCTACCTCGGTCTGCTCCCAATGGACGATCAGCAGCCCCCAAATCTCATTTAACACTCACACTACTTCTTATAGTGAGACCACTAAACATGCTCTTTGGTTCATTATCATCCTTTCAAATTAAAACATGTTAATGGTTAATTATTTGGGCAACATTAAACACTTGATATATGAATGACGAGTCATTCTTACGTTAAACACTCATTTATACTAGTTTGTTTGATGGGGAATAAATGAACCAAATAAAATGAAGGAAACAGTTTTAAATAAGTCCATAGATAGTGATTCTGTACTTCGCTTGTTAAAAAATGGTAAGATACTGAATAATAATACAGTTGAATGGATTCCAGTTAATCTGACTGGAAGAAAAATCAGCCTAGACATCAGGCAACAGAAACTGGATTTAGAGAAAAGGATCCATTATGTATTAGTAGTGATTTAGTCATTTTCCTCTGACTGGACATTGGAAGGAGAATGAATTAGGAAAATAACCACTAAAACGTGTCAAAATAAACACAGTTAGAAACTCAAATACTCTGTGTTAAGAAAATAAAGTAAAAATATGCAAAAAAAAAATGAGAAAGCAGTAGTGAAGCGAAATAAAGGCAGAAAACTTTGCAGTCAAGGTAACTGGTACCATAAGTACACAAGGTCTTGGTAGCCATATGCAGAGCCTCCTGTGACTCAGCTAGGAGGTTTTTAGGAAATATTACTTATAAAAAAATAACTTACGTATTGTAATAAGGTTACATATTGTTACTTTCTTGACTTGGTACAGGGAAAAAAATCCCTCAAATTCTACACACCATGTAACACAGTGTCTATACATTCTGGCACAAAGAAATGTCGGCCTGCTCTGTTACCACAGCAACCGAATTAACTTTTCCATCTGTCACTGCTGGCCCTGTTAGCCAATGAGACGCCAGAATCGATTACTGTCTCCATCTCCCTCTGCTCCATTCCCCTGTGCTCTGTTTATTTCTATCTTGCCAGCTAACCAGGGAGGTAAAAGGCGGTCTTGAGTGACTGGGGGGGGGGGGGGAAACGAGGTAGACGGAGCAGATTCGGAGGGCAGCCTCCCCATGTCTGCTGGCAGCCTGCCTCTTTCCCGGGCCCCACCCCGTGAGCCGCACCCAGCCTGTGGCATCGCGGTCTCTGTTTATGTCCGACACAGACGTACAGGTGCGTCGCCCATCCTGCGGGCTGCTGGCTCGCTCGCACCGCAGGCAGGAACACGGAGCCTTTGTTTTTCCACACACAGCCCATCTTAGGTTACAGTGCAATCAGACCAGGAAAGATGTTTACCTCACGTAGCATTTGCTTTACTATTAATATCACAGCTAAAATTGAAAAGGAGACACAAAAATCTGAGCTTGAATGAGATGGGAAGGGATGGCGACGGCGATGACGAAAGCATCACACACGCTGTGTTTGGTACGCTTCTGCTTTTGCTCTGTAGCAGCCGACCTGTTCCCACCCCCTCCCACGACATGTGGCGCGACAAATGCCCCCCAGCCAGCCCACGCATGCTCCACGGCGTCACTTTTCCTGGTGGAGAATCGATTCCTCCCAGAGCTGCGGCTCTGCCCTTCACGCCATGCGGCTCCGCGTCCCCCTATTCTCCTGTCGCCGCGGCACGGCGGGCGGGAGCGGTCGGCATGTGGTCGAGAGAGCCTGCCGCATCCAAGCTGGGCAGAGCCAAATTATCAATGCTCATTCTCTCCGCTCCGAGCCGCTGCCTCTCAAACACAGCAGCCGTTAAGAAATGCAGGGATCAAAAGAACTCCGGGATACCGAGAGGATGCTGCCCAACTGCAAGCTTATCAGACTCTCGAATGTATAAAACATCTTACATAAATATCATCAAACAGAATAAATAAAGATATGAAATAATCTATTCATGCATCTCCATCCTCTCCTCGGTCTTCACCACCACTGCAGAAATGAATCCGCAGTCCATGTCAGCTATTTCCCCATCTGTCT